CGGAAGCCTAGGCTCTTTTTTTGATCATGGCTTTCAGATAGTCCAATAATTTTTAAATTCTCTCTCCTGGATCTATTTTCCAGGTCAGTTGTTTTTCCAATGAGATATTTCACATTGTTCTCTGATTTTTCATTCTTTTGGATTTGTTTTATAGTGTCTTGATTTCTCATAAAGTCACTAGTTTCCAATTGCTGTATTGTAATTTTTAAGGAAGCATTTTCTTTTTTTTTTTTTTTGTAGACAATGGGGTTAAGTGACTTGCCCAGGGTCACACAGCTAGTAAGCGTTATGTGTCAAAGGTCAGATTTGAACTCAGGTCCTCCTGAATCCAGAGCTGGTGCTCTATCCACTGTGCCACCTAGCTGCCCCTAGGAAGCATTTTCTTCAGTAAGCTTTTGGACTTCCTTTTCCGTTTGGCCAATTTTTCTTTTTAGGCCATTTTTCTCATTGGCTTTTTGGACCTCTTTTGCCATTTGGGTTAGTCTATTTTTTAAGGTGTTATTTTCTTCAATATCTTTTTGGGTCTCCTTTAGCAAGCTGTTGACTTGTTTTTCATGATTTTCTTGCATCACTCTCAATTTTTCCTCTACTTCCCTTACTTGCTTCTCAAGATCCCTTTTGAGCTCTTCCAAGGCCTGAAACTGATTCATATTTTTCTTGGAGGCTTTGGATGTAGGAGCTTTACTTTGTTGTCTTCTGGTTGTATATTTTGATCATCTTTTTCACCAAAGTAAGATAATATAGCCTGACTCTTTTTGTGCTGCTTGCTCATGATCCCAGCCAATTATTCAGTTTTAAACTCTTTGTTAAGGTAAGAGTCTGCTTCCAATGTGGAGAATGTACTGTCCCAAGCTTTGGGGGTTTGTACAGCTATTTTCAGAGATACTTCTAGGGACCTGTAAATTTTCAGTTCTTCCAAGGTGGTGTGATAAGGGGCGAGGTGTTTACTCCTTTCCTGGCCTGTGACTACAAGTACTCCTTTCTGTCCTGTAACTGTGAGGAGAGGTTTCTCTCCACAGCCACTACAAGCTCCACCACACCAGCGCTTCTCCTCGCCCCAGGACCAATATCCAGAACTGTGACCCAGATCGAAACATGGGCAAAGCAAGAGATTCCTGCCTCAGCACTGGCAAAGAGATCCCGGCAATCCCTCTCTGATCAGCCACTGGATTCCCCCTCAGTCTATGGGCCGGAAGCTCGGGAAGCAGCTGCCCCCCCCACATTCAGGGCCATGCTCTGGAGATGAGACCCCACCTTCCTGTCTCAGCACCGAAGAAACAGACTTTTCCCACTGACCTTCAAAGTTGTCTTTGGCATTCGTGGATTGAGGAGTCTGGAAACCTCCACAGCTGCCCACAATTCAGTCCTCTGAGGCCTGCTCCAGGTTCACTATGGCCTGCGCGCCCATGCTGCGCTGCGCTCCCAGCCCATCGCAATACACCTTTCTGATCAATCATCCAGGTTGTCTTGGGCTGGAAATTTGTTTCACTCTGTCTTTTTGTGGGTTCTGCTGCTCCAGAATTTAGTTAGAGCCATTTTTTATGAGTATTTGGAGGGGTTTGGGGGAGAGCTTAAGCAAGTCACTGCTTTCACTCTGCCATCTTGGCCAGTAGACATATTTTTAAAAACCTATTAAATGCATACAAACTTCAAAAGGAGCTTCCTCAGTGAGGTATTATAGGACTTAGTAAGTCCATTTCATCCACATTGTTCATTATGTTATAGAGTTCAAACATATCCCACTCTCTCCTCTTGCCTCCATTCCTTCAGGCTAAGAGTTCTAATCATTTTTGTCTCTCCTTGTTTAATGATGTTATAGAACCACGTGTCTGAGATGCAACTTTTTTTCCCTCCCACACAAATCATGGAGAGGCCTCAGTTTCCCTGAGGCAGATTCTTCCACCACCTCCAGGCAACAAAGGGTAGGCCCAGGACAAAGTTGTTCCTAGAACCCGTTGGGCCCCTGCTTTCCTAGCATAGCTTCCTAGTCATTTAGGGACATGTAAAGTCCTAACTATGTGGATTCTGGGACCATTAGACTTGGTGGGTACCAAAGACCATGCAAATTGCAATACCTAGTGACCAAACCATTTCCAGATGGAGATGAGGGGGACCACTTCCAGAGAAGCTAAGTTCCACTTTTTCCTTGTTACATATTCTTGCTGTGTTTGGGCAATGTAAATATCCTTTGTTAAATCTTTGATGATTTAAGTGTGCCTCATTTCTTCCCAACACTGAACCAGAACTAAGGAAGGTGCTGGTATTAAAGCCATACCTCTGACAAATGGTGTCTGCCCACTCCCATGATCACGTTAGTCACTTTCCTTTGGGAAGGGCACACAGAAAGCATTTGTCAGAGGTTTTACTTGAACCCTGGTCTTCCTGACTCCAAGGATGGCTTTCTAACTATTATGCCACCCTGTCTCTTTACACTGTTATTTTCCCCCAGTAGAGAATAAGCTCCTTGAGAGTATGAACTATCTCATTTTTGTCTTTTTTACCCCCAATCCCTTTCCCTTGCATGGTGGCTAGCACATAGAGAGAATTTTAAAATATTTATTGAATGAAATACTGAAAATTAGTAAATATTTGTTTAATTCAATTTACTTTAATTAAGAAGTGAGTGAAGAAAGCTTGTGAAGTTGGGTTTGTCATATCACCAAAGGCAATAAAAACATCATTTCACAAAACACTTGGTCATCTTATATTAGAATACTCATGATGAAAATTTTTTAAAAATTAACATTAAGAAAATTGCACCTTATATTATCTGTTGCAGAGGACGAAAAAGTAGGAAAAAATCTACAAATAATTGGATTAGAAGCTCAAAATTAAATCAACATATATTTTAATGTTTATGATTTAAATGTATATGTTGAAAATAGTTCAAGAGTAAAATGAAAAAGAAGAGATGAAAAGATTTTAAAATTATGTAGAATAACCTGAAGTTTCTTCTTAAACAAAGGCTTATCTTTTTAAGGGCACTATTTTTTCAAGTGAGGTGTCTTGGCATAGCATATAGAGGTCTGACTTTGAAACCAGGAAGAACTGGGTTCAAATTCTACCTCTGGCACACTAGTTGTGTTACCATGATGAAGTCACCAACCACAATGCTCCTGTAGCTCTCTAGGAATAAACTGAAGGAAAGTTATTGAAGGAATTTCCCCACTGGGAATTCCCTATGCTAATGAAATCATAGGTTTTGACAAAGAAAAATTATTCTAGTGATAATGTCTAATGATGTAATAAAATATCAAATTTTCAAAGAATTAAAATTTCTGATCAACCAAATGACAATGGAGAGATGTGATGGGCATGAGAAGAAAACAACATATTACCAAAGAAAAATTTGCATGAAAGTGGAATAAAGGACATCCTAAGAAAGATATTAAGACCAGAAAAGGAGGCTGTGTCAGTTATATATTGAAAAAGACAGATACTCTGTTGGTAATCTTATATAGCAGGCAATACACATTTATCAAGTGCTTTTTATGTGCCTGGAACAGTGATGAGCACTGGGGATATAAATACAAGCAAAAGTAATGATAAACTCAGCCTTCAAAAAGCTTATATTCTGATGGAGGAAGATGATATAGAAAAGGGGACTGAAAACCAGTGAATGTGTATAGAATGAAGGAAGAAGACACTCAAGGTCCTTAGGGGCACCATTTCTAAGTCCAGACAGTTAGAAGCAAAGCTGGGAGGGGAATGAAGGATGGATGACCTGGTCCTTCCCTAAAATGAAGACTCTAGGAAGAGTTCACCATTGGGACGAGGGGGCTGCCACAGTGGTAAGTGGGAAGATGGATGCTCCACGGGTATCCATATAATGTCAAAAGATCTAGAGGGAGATGCATACAGGGTGTGGACCCTCTAGAGAGGGTTTATCGGAGGACGTGGACAAAAGTCAACCAGTATGAGGAAGCATAGATGTGTTGTTTTTGGTATCATTGGAGGAAGTTCTTACATTGAAAAAATGTAAGATGTATCCAAGTACTGAGGTATTTTTACAAAAATGCATTCCTTGCCACTTGTTTCATTGAAAATCATCTGCTACTTTTCTGTCTTCTTATACAACCTCATTAGATTCTCTGGCAGCTTATTTTCATCAGCCTTCAATTTCTTCTCCCAAAATAGTTTAATGTTATTAACGAATTGGGATCCTTCATGGTGCAAACTGACTTCTACCATTTAAAAGAAGGATTGGTAATTAAACCCCTATGCTTTCTCAAGTGCATGCTAATCTGGCAATAGATCATGAAACAACTTGGTATTTGCTGATTGTGTGTCTTTGTATAATGATGATCTTATTCTTTTCAATCTCCTATGCCTCTGTGCTTCTATCCATGGATAGAATGTTGGTATCCAGGGCCAAGACTTGTCACAGATTAGTTATAAATCAGTCAAATCTTTCATGGTTTTGACTTGCAGATGCTAAACACGTAGAGCTCAGATATGGGATTTTATTTTGAGGTGCAATCATTTTTCGGACATTTTGATGAAAGCATCATCTCCTCCATCTTCCCTTTGCAAAAAATTAATGTTAACACTCTACAGCTTGTTAACATCTGCACAGCAAAGTGTTCTAGGTTTGAGAGAAGGGGATCATAGGATAGAGATTTGGAGCTAGAAAGAACCTTAAAGATTGTGGTCCTAGGGCAGCTAGGTGGCACAGTGGATAGAGCGCCAGCCCCGGAGTCAGGAGAACCTGAGTTCAAATCCGGCCTCAGACACATAACTTTCACTAGCTGTGTAACTCTGGGCAAGTCACTTAACCCCAATTGCCTCACAAAAAAAAAAAGTTTGTCTGGTCCAATACTACCATTTCATAGATAAGGAAATCAAGTTTCAGAGAGGTTGAGTGACTATCTGTTGATTTCAGTGTATAATTCATGTCATCATAACAACTCTCCTCAAAGTCTCAATTTTCTCTCATGTTTACTGCAAATTTTAGAACAGAAAATATATTGAAGTCTTTTGCTGAAGATTTGTAAACTTACCTAATCCCAATTCCATAGTTTTATGTAGCTGCTCTATTACTGAGTTCTCCATAACATGGACCTTTCTTCTACCACTCAGATGTAGCAAATATATTCCCAATGTAATGGCAGGTACAGTCAGCTTGGTGTAGGATAGAATGCCACTCTGAAAACAAGGAATACTCAGGTTCATACTCTGTTTTTGACATATAGTGACTATGTTACCCTCATCACTTTACCTCTCAGTACTCTGGACAGCATGACAAGACTAAGTATTAGAGAAGGTACTGACTCACCTTGGTGGAGGGATTTTGCCTGGGGGCTCCCTGCACCACCAAAATTATAAGGTTCAGTCTCTATACTTTAAGTATAGTCAATCCTCATTTTTCATGGGGGTGACATTCCTAAAAATGGCACAAAAGTAAAACAACACAAATGTTGATACATTAAACCTATGGGAAATAGGGCATTAGGTTCCCAAAACCACCAAAAACTATAATCTTTCACTAGAGATTGCCAAAAATACACTTTTCTAAATGCAATTAATTATGATAATATTCACTTTTCCTAGCAGAGTAATCATGAAATAACCCACAAAATGCACACAAAATAAAATTGGTAACATGCAAAACATTTTTCTCATTATTAATTCCCTGGAATTCTGTGACCTTTTATGCTAACATCTCAATTAAAAAACTAATTTCAGATAATATCCACTTTTCATAACACATGAAATCTATAGTACCATAAATATGGCATAGCAAATAAAATTCTTAAATGTAAAACTTTTTTTAACTGAATCTTACCTCCCACTGTAAGCTTCTTTACCTTGGCAACCCTCTGAAAACCAAGGGAAAGGATGCTGGGACTTTAGTCACTACTGCTGGAAGATGCCAAGTCTGGTAAGGTCTCAACATCACCTACAACACTCTGTCCTTCATAGCTGGTGGATGGTGTTGGAGATGGTGAAGAATGCACCAGCTTAAAATAATCTGTCAGCAACACCTGCTTCCTGCGTGGATTCATTAACACCAAACTGGTGGCTAACAGCAGCTGCAAAGATTCTAGCACAAACTTTATCTAATGCCTTTATTTTCTCACTAAGTCATGTCACTTATGTTTTACAATTGGGCTTAGAACCCAAAGAACTTGCACTACACTTTGGAGGCACAATTTGTTACAACACAAAACTTGAATTTCAAAGGCAAACAATGAAAATATGCAACAAATCACAGGCAGCTCTTTGTAATGGTAGGGTCAACAAGACCAGTGAGGCACCTACTAAGTAAGATACAAGCTCCTCCACAAACTTACACACATCGTGTCTCTCATTCTTTTCTCTACTTTATATAGTCACAAATATGCACAGTTGCAAATGAATAAGTAAAAATGAAGTTACTGATAAAATCACATGAATGCTTAAAGTCATGAAAGTTAAATGCATGAATCTTCAGGCTTGACTACATTTACTATTTTATTAATATTATAGAGATAATACACAAAATTGAAGAACTGAAGAATACATGCAAATAATCCACTAATTTATTGTTATTAAGTCTTCTTTATATATGTATTTCTCATCTACTTTGATCACAGAAATCACAGATCTGAAAGGGTCCTCAGAGTCCGTTTAGTTCAACATCTATGGCACTACCAGCAAGTGATCTCCCAACCACTTCTTGAAAGTTCCCAATGAGAGATAAGTCACTAACTTTCCAAGGCAACCCATTCTATTTTGGGACAGTTCTATTAGGTAGGAAGTTTTTCATACAATGGGTAGGTAGGGGGAGCAGTGGAGAGAGCACTGGGCTTAGAATCAGGAAGACTCATCTTCTCGAGTTCAAATCCAGCCTCAGACACTTACTAGCTGTGTGACCCTGGGCAAGTCGCTTAACCCTGTTTGCCTCAGTTTCTTCATCTGTAAAATTATCTGGAGAAGGAAATGGCAAACCACTCCAGGTATCTTTGTCAAGAAAACCCCAAATGGGGTCACAGTGAGTCAGACACGACTGAAAATGACTAAACAACAACAAAAATTCATATAATAAGCTTAAATTTACCTCTTTGCAACTAAATCCAGTCATTCAAATGATTCCAAATATATATTATCTAGTCCATAGATCTCTAACCTGTTCACAACACCATGAAAGGCTTTAATTATAGTGTTGCTAAAATATAAGTATTCTATGTATACTGATTTATTAATTTAGCTACTCCATTTAAAAAAGAAATGAAGGGTAGATTCACAGTGGCGAAGTAGAGGGAACATTCTAGCTGAACTCTTGCAATATTCGCCTCCAAAAAACTTTAAAGTAATGGCTTAAATCAAATTCTGGAGTGGCATAGCCAACAAAAGGTCAGGGTGAGATATTTTTCCACCCCAAGACAATTTAGAAGGTCAGAATGAAAGGTCTGTGACACTGGGGCAGGTAGCTTGCCTGGAGTATATCACTGTAGAAACTCTACCTGGGGATCTTGTAGGCCGCAGTGGTGACAAGAGCAGCAGAAGCAACAGTCCCCAGAGCTTTTCTCACCCAGAGAAGATAAGAGGATTAGACAACTGGTTCGAAAGAGAATACAGGGGACCCCTCTGCAGGGAGCCCCTGTTCAGACTGTGGATACAAGCCTGAGTGTCATCTGGCAACTCCATTGCTCATTACCAGGAGAAGAGTATTTGTGGTTGCAAGGAAGGAGGAGCCCTAATTCTAGGTAGCAGTTTCAAGGTGAAGAGGATTTCAGGCATTAGCACGTGCAATAGTAAGAGAGATGAGACCTTCCTGGCTAAGGAACAGAATGCAGACTAGGAAAGGAGTGGCCATACTTCTCCCTGGAGTGATCCACTGAAGCACTGAAAACTTGCAAATCCCCAAAAGTAGTTCTGAAAAGAGCAGTACAAAAAACCTGAAGTTTGGGGCAGTGGCATATCACCTCCCCGAGATGAACAAGTCAGACTGTAACATAAAGTTCAAAGCCAAGAAATAGCAAGAAAAAATGAGCAAACAACAACAAAGAACCAAACCATAAACCACTACTATGGTGACAGGGAAGATCAACAAACTTAGAAGAAAACAATAACATGAAAACATCTACAAGTTAAGCCTCAAAGAAAATTGTATATTGGACACAAATCCAACAAGAATTCCTAAAAGAATTAAAGAAAGTGTTGTGTTTTTTTAAGAAGCAAAATTATTTTGAAAATTAAATAAGAATGATAGAGGAAAATGGGAAAATAAATGAGAACAATGCAAGAAAATTATGAACAGAAAATTAACATTTTGGTAAAGCAGGCACAAAAAAATACCAAAGAAAATAAGTACTTACAAATGGCCAAATGGAGAAGTAGAGCCAAGGTAGCAGAAAAAAGCCAGGAAATTGCCTGAACTCTTACCAGTTTCTCTTGGAAACATTAAATCAAGGCTCTAAACAGATTCTGGAGCAACACAACCTACAAAAAGACAGAGTGAAATAATTTTCCAGCTTAAGATAACTTAGAAGGACTTCAGGAAAGGTCCATCTCACCTGAGTAAAAGAGAACAGCCCAGTGCAGATAGTGTCCAAGCAGGCCCAGCTTCCAGTGGGAAGTTCTTAGTCAGAGCGCAGATCAGAAATCAAGGCCCCTCAGTCCTAACTCAACAGGCTAGCGGCAGAGCAGGCAAGCTGCCAGGCCTCCAGCCCCAGTGCAGAAGGCAAACTGCAAGCCCTGGAACCTCCAGCACAACAGGTGTGACGAGGCTGGGCCAACCCAGTGCAGTGGGCAAGCACCAATACCTGAGGCCCTGAGCACAGAAAGCCAGGGACCAGTCCCCTAGCCCCCCAGCACAAGAACTTTGGGACAGTGGCCCCTGTGCCCCAGGAGAGAGCTCAATTTTAAAAGTTATAAAAAGGGCTAAAAAAAAAAAAGCAAAAATTAGAAAAGAGCTCTGACCATACAAAGGTACAGGGAAGATCAAAACATAAACTCAAAAGAGGATAACAGTGTCAAGAAGTTTACATGTGAAGACTCAAAGTGAAATGTGAACTGATCTCAGGCCCAAAAAGCCTTCTTGGCAGAGCTCAAAAAGGATTTTAAAAATCAAATAAGAGACATAGAAGAAAAATTGGTAAAATAAATAATAGTTATGCAGCAGAGATTCAACACCTTGGAAAAGAAAGTACAAAAATTGACTGAAGAAAACAATTCATTAAAAAATTCATTTAGACAAATAGGGGGAAAATCCATTGAAGAAAACAGCTCCTTAAAAAGTAGGATTGGCCAAATGGAAAAGAAGGTACAAAAGCTAACTGTAGAAAACAATTTCTTAAAACTTAGAATTGGGAAAGTTAAAGCTAAGCACTCTATGAGACATCAAGAATCAGTCAAACAATATCAAAAGAGGGGGAAAATGGAAGAAAATGTAAAATACCTCATTGGAAAAATAAGTGACTTGGAAAATAGATCCAGGAGAGATAATTTAAGAATTATTAGACACCTGTTGTTCTGGAGCAAATGAAAGCTAATGAGTCTTTGAGAAATCAAGAAATTATAAAAACAAAGCCAAAAGAATGAAAAAATAGAAGACAATATGAAATATCTCATTGGAAAAACTGACCTGGAAAATAGATCCAGAACAGATAATTTAAAAATTATTGGACTACCTGAAAGCCATGATAAAAAAAAAAAAAGATCTGGACAGCATCTTTCAAAAAATGATCAAGGAAAACTGCCCTGATATCCTAGAACCAGAGCATAAAATAGTCATTGAAAGAATCCGCCACTTACTTCCTGAAAGAGATTCCAAAATGGAGACTCCAAGGAATATTATAGCCAAATTCCAGAATTAAAAGGTCAAGGAGAAAATACTGCAAGCAGCCAAAAAGAAACAATCCAATGCAGAACGGCAGAAATATTAAATGCATCCTTTCCAGATCATGATGAAAGGGCCATGGAAAGACAGATTAAAATTAATTGGAAACTAAATAATCTAATCCTAAAGAAAGAATGGGTCAAACAGCAAATTGTAGAAACAATCGATAATTTCATCAAAGAGAACAACAATAATGAGACAACTTACCAAAAATTAGGAGATACAGCTGAAGCAGTTCTTATGGGAAATTTTATATCTCTAAATGTTTTCATGAATGAAATAGAGAAAGAGGAGATCAATGAATTGGGCATGCAGTTTAAAA